TGCAACTAAAATTCAGGGGCTCAAGTGATCCTCTGGCCTCAGCCTCCCAGGGTGCTAGGATTACAGGCATGAGCCACCCTGCCCAGCCCTAAAGGTTCAGTTCTTATGGAAATCAGTCAACTTCCTGCAGCAGCTCCTTATCTAATAATCCTACTCTGCCATTTTATGAAGTATGTAGGTTACAAATAGGACTCAGAACTTTTCTTTTTATACATATATATATATGCCTATCAAAGGTGGTATCGTCATTATACACAAACTTTCAGTATTTATCTTCAGAATTATATTTTGCTTCGGCTACTGTATAGTTTTATTTCCTTGATTGATGGTTAAAATACTCATCAAGGTTAGAAATAATTTAGGTTTAACATGTAAGCAAGACAGATTCTTTTTTTTTTTTGAGACAGGATCTCACTCTGTCACCCATGAAGTGTAGTGGCGCATCATCACAGTTCACCACAGCCTTGAACTCCTGGCCTCAAGTGATCCTCCCACCCTGGCCCCCTCAAAGTGGTAGGAGTACAGTTGTGCGCGACTGTGCCCGGCATTTCATTCAAACACTGACTGTGCCCACCAAAAAATGGCTAAGTTACCTCAGTCTGTAAGAGCAGCACGTGAAAATTGGAGATGGACTGTCTATTAATGCCTAGAAATTCAAATTTACTCGTCAGGGTATTTGCCAGTTCGCCAATCTGAAACTATAATGTAGGAAAGAAAAAAAGGAAAAATAAAAATAGAATCAGCAATATTTTCTGTGTTACATAAATTTTTCATTTATTATTATCGATACTAGAATGAGTCTGCCTATAAACAGCCTTCCTCAAACAGCTATATCTAGTTAGATAGACGATAAAATTCTAACTTACATGAAATAATTCACATAACAAAGTGATAAGTAATGACAGAAGGTCTATAGGAATCAAATGCATACCTATATTCAATCCATCATAATGCATTCTAATACAACATGGAATTCGACAGTTGAAAATAGATCCTAACCTTAAAATGTTGAACTCAGAAAGAGAGTATTATGATTGCCAGGGCCAGGGGCAAGGGAGAAGTGGGAAGATGTTGATCACAGAGTACAAATTTTCAATTATAAAATGAGTAAGTCTGGGGGATCTAATATGTTACATGGTGACTACAGACAACAATACTGTCTTGTATATTTGGAATTTGTTAAGTGAGTAGATCTTAAATGTTTTCAAGACATACACACACAAAAGACAACTATGCAAGGTAAGGCGATGAATAGGATAATTAGCTGGTCTATGGTAATTATACCACAATGCATACATATAACAAATTATCATGTACATAGTAAACACATTCAATTTTTGTCCATTATACCTCAATAAACCTGGAAAAAATATATTCTGAATTATATAACTCCCAATATTGCCAAATTGCCACTTACCACTATTATTTTATACTAGTCACTTGCTGAAGCCTGAAACAAAATTAATTCTCCCAGTCCCTTCTATATGGTTGCTCACTAACTAATGAAAAGTTCTCTCTTTCAAGTCAAAAGAATATGCTATGTGGTTTTTTCAGACTATCCTTAAATAGCCAATACTTATTTGGTCCAACTCTTCCCATGAGATTAGATTAGAAATGCAATTAGAACTAAGTTTGCCTTTGTATAAAAACAAGTATTTCATGGAGGAATTTTATCTGTAACTTCTAGTCTCTTTAGTACTCTCAAACTGGAGAAGTCTATATTGATAAGCTATTGCTTTCAAATCAAGGCTTAACTTAAAAGTAATTAGCATTTATAATTTATTTTTCTTTTGTCAGCATCAAGCCAGCCTTATAATTCCTTATTTCAGCCTTAAATATGATCTTTTCATCTAACCAAGTAAATGATTTAGCTCTGGAGATAGTATAGATTACTTCCACTACTTGGTAAGAGAAAGAAGTTTAATGACTGGCCTTTTTTGTCAGGCTGCATTAAGTAATATACTTACTTTCAAATCCTGTTCTTCTTCTACTTTTGGTGCTATCTGTACTTTTATTTTTTCTGAAGATTCTTCTACTTCCATCTCTCTGTCTGAATTCTCATCTGTTTTTTCTGAATTTTCAGCACCAATTGCTGTAAAAGAAAACATGTGAAATTAAATCAAAAAGACCAATACAAATAGAGCCCCACATATATTTTCTTCCTCTTGTAGTAGATACCTGAAAAAGGTTATCAGAGCTCTCCTTTGCTTTTCCTTACTCATTAAAGCCCTTACATCTTGCCAACCTGCTGTCTCTATAAAGTCAAAAACTTTATCCTTTATAATCACCTTTCGTAAAATGTATCTATAAATAAAATTTACTTTGCTCTCCTAGATTATCCTGTATAGTTTCTCCTTTCCCCTTCTACTTAACATCTTTTCTTATCTTCTTTTCCAGAATACTGCTGCTTCAATTACTTAGAAAAGGTAGATATCAAACCTAGAATATATAGGATTTTTTACTAAGATGGGAGGCTTGGAGGTAAGGCTCTCAAAATCAGAGCAGCATTAATTTTAAACCACCTGATAACTTCCTTCCAGAACAGGTTAAGACCTACAGACAATCTATACTGGATCCACCTATTATGGCTGGTGTTCATGTCTGTTGGTAGCAGAACCCTCCAAAAGAGAATGGGTTTACCACCAACTTAAAACA